GCTTTGGCACCTCTCTTTGCTTGACTCTCCTCCAGCAGAGCTCTGAACTCTGGATCTCTCTCCTTCTTGATGTCGATGAAGTGCTGAAACAATTCGGTCTGGCCGAGCAGGTAAGAGAACCTCTTCATGCTATCTGCCAACTTCGATTTTTTCATCTCCTCTCGAGTCGAGCTAAGAGCTGAATTCTGTCCAGCTTTAGCCTTTGCCTTTTCAGCCCTCGCTTCGCTCCTCTCGTGCTTTTCCCTCTCTTTTTCCAATTGTCTGGGAGTCTTTGGACCTCGAGCCGAAGAAGGCGCATCAGCCTCATCATCTTCATCATCCTCATCATCTTGAGCGTCTCGCATCTCCACATCCTCATCCTCCTCGACCTCTTCGGAAGCAGCCTTGGAGTGGGACGCACTGGCTGATGCAGCGCGCGAAAGATCGGCAGATTGCGGAACGTAGTCGCTCAGCTTGTCCGTATCGTCACCCGCCGAGGAAGCCTGAAGGGAAGCGGGAACGGCAGAAGCAGGCTTAGCATCTGCACTGCCGCTCGAAGCTCCCTTCGACATGATGTCGTGAAGCAGCTTGGGTGAGTGACAAGAAGTCAGGAATCTGTGGTGCGGCAAGCGAGCGATGCTTTGGATGTTCTCGCAGTACGCGTCTAGAGGCAGCGCGCAGATGGAGATGAGGGTGGTGACGGTGGCAGAACAGCATGGATGTGCAATGGATGTGCAAATCGAGACTGAAGACTTGGACTGCGCAAGAGGTACCTGCGCGCCTTCATGTGCTTTCCTCTCAAACGGCGCGCCGCCCAAGCAAAGAGCGGCGATTCAAGAAGAGCCGCCTGCTTTTGCTGCAATTAAGCAATCAAGCAGCGTTCAGCAGGTGGATGATTGATGATTTACGATTGGCGCGTCGGCGCGCGTTCGCGCGTTCTCGCGTTCTGGCGCAACTCTGGACTTGATGAGCCCGCGCTTTTCGTATCACGTGACCACTCGACCTCCTGCTTTGATTACGGCATGCAGTCACAGAGTGATGATAATAATCTCGGATGACTTGCGCCGTCTGCATAGCACAGACGAGTTACGAGTGCCAGTACAGCGGACACACACAGCCACGCAGTCAATCGCGCCTACTCATCACAAGTGGACAGACATCCTTCCCCCATCCAAGCAGATCGCCCATGCAACTCTAACAAAGGACTCGCAGGCCGCCGATTCCCTTGGCCCAAGGTACGTCCACTGAACAGCTGCGATTCCAGCACAACTCTTGCGTGCTGCGAATCACAAGCGCCACTTCATACAAGCAACACTTCCGTCGGTGACCACACCACAGCCCTCTCAGGCAAGATGAGCGGTGGCCAATCGGTCTGCATGACATGCAGCAAGATCATCCACATCTCGTTCTCCCCTGTCTCTTCAGACGCAGTCCAAGCATCTCCTTCGGCCAACACAGCGACTCTCAGACCGGCTCCATTCGTGCACTCGTGCTGCGGTCGCAAAGTGTGCTCTCAGTGCGTTCATAGCAACGCTCGACTGGTCACCTTCTGTCCATTGTGCGAGGATGTCAATACAGCATTCAAAAAGGGACCGAGGGGGGATGTGCTCAGATCCGGTCAGACGCTATTCGACCTGGACAGAGCTTTGAGAGATGCTGGGGATGAAGATGAAGGTGCAATCACCGTGTCGGCTCAAAAGGGCGACGATGATGAGAGTGTAGCAGAGACGCACACTCTCTCTGACCCGCCACAGTACGCATGCAAAGCGCCAAGCGTGTTTGCCATTGGCGAAGAAGACGACGGCGAAGATCTTGCGCGACCTGCCAACACCGCACCAAGCAAGCACTCGAATCGTGCTGACGCGTTGGCCGGATTTCTGCCCGATCTCATCTCTCGCCCGACTCGCAATGCTCAACCATCATTGGGCATCAACACCACCAAAGCTAGCGGCTCAGCCAGCACTGGACCCGGTGCAGCTGCGACACGTCGAGACGCACAGATTTCTCCTGACATTGGCACCGTTTTGCAGACCGCACCTGCGCAAAAGCAGACCACAAGAAACACGATCACCCCGATCCGCTCAAGCTTAGACGAAGAGAGTGGCAAAGACGCGAGCACGCGGCAGTACTGGATTCGTGTCAATGACTCTTTGGCTTCTATCAGCCTACGCTTCAACATTTCCGTAAGCATCTCGATTCGCTTCGGGAGCCCTCGTCTGTGCCTCACTCTTGAAATGTAGAAGTCGCTGATTCGATGCTGGCTTTTCAATGCAGATGAACACCTTGATCCTTCTAAACGAGCTTCCCGCTTCAATAAAATCCAACCCTTCTCTCTTGCACACGCGCAGCTTTCTACTTCTTCCGAATGCGGCAGTAGAGCAAGCGCTAGCTCGCGCCTCTTCCTCGGCCTCCGACCTGACATCGGCCCTCTCCGGTCCACCCAGGCTTTCTGCCGAGGTCAAGACTCGCAATGCTCGTAGAGCAGCCGAGGGACGTTTCAGATCTAGCATCCTGCGCTCTCAGAGCAGCATGGCGCCATTTGCAAGCGCCGCAAACGGTGGGATGAGTGGAGAAACGCCTTGCGATGAGAGGGCCGCCAGAGCTTATATAGCTTTGGAAGAAGAGGCGCTTTGCTGGATCGATTTTGGCGAAGAGGCTGTTGGCGGGGCGAGTCCTCCCTCTGCACCTGATCAAGAGCGATTGCCTTCTTACGCATCAGCAGCGCAGATGGAAACGACCCTGCCGAACTTTAGCAAGTCTAAGGTGCAACACGGGAAAGCGCAGCACGTCGTTGGGTCGTCTGGTGCAGAAGTCGAGGAGGTCAGAGAGGCGTTGATGGACTCTGCAAGGAGCGCTAGGTAT